TGACTGCAACTTCTTTCAACGAATAACATACGAGTGCTTTTTATTTGTGAGTGCAACATGCTTAATGATTTGTCTGGATTTTACCAAGTTTTGAAGTAAAAGTAGTAGACGAATGAGCTGAGAATCACATTGACAATAGTATGCTATCACTGTTAAACAAGCCAAAGGTGATTAAGTAGGGATTGATATGGATATCTAGTAAAGTAAAGGTAGTCATAGCGTCACGGTATAAATATAGCTCATCTACAGGTTCAGTCAAGGTGCTTAAAGGGACACGCTTCATAAAATCATTAAAAATATATTTTTATAGTAATAATACAATAAAGAAATAATGGCAACAGTAAAAAAACATGATAACACCTTCACCACTCACACACACACACCTCACAAACACAAACAAGAGGTACATGGGCCTTAACGGTCACCTGAGTTCTTTATATTTATACAGAGGGTTTGTTTTTGTTTTTAAAACATGAACAGAAATATTATTCAAAGTGACAAATAAACAATAAAACCACCTTATTCAATATCTAGCATACAGATTTAAGACTGAAAAGTATTTGAAACTAGCACCTCTGATTAAAAACAAGGACAATGAAGAAATTTTAGCACACTGACTCCTTTGGGCCCTGCCCTACAGCCCTTTGGGGTAGGACTGGCTCAACATTTTCAAAGTATCAACTCAGAGTTATGATTCCAATCAAGTTATCAACATGTAATATCCAAAGTATCATTTGCCATTATAAACCATAATACATTTTGCCCTCCTCCCCCTTCTCTAGGGGTAAACGCTAGACCCTAGGGTCATAAAATTCACAATTTTGGTAGAGCACGTACCTTATAACCCTTCCATCTATGAAGAGTATTTGAATCTACCATATCTGGTCTTGAGAAGAAGATTTTGAAATTTCAGGCAATTCGACCCTTTTTTGCCCCACCCATCAGCCCCTGGGGGTCAGTCAGGGCTGATATGTGCATACCATCAAACTGCTATCCAATACTGAAAATGCTACCCCAAATTGAATTACTTCCAATGGAAATAAAACAAATGTTGGTCCAAAATGTGATTTCCCTATATAAACTATAGTAAAGTTTACCCCCTCCCCAGGGGGAAAAGTGAGACCCTGGGGTCGTAAAATTCATACTTTTGGTTAAGCACCTTAAGACCGTTCCATCTATGAAGAGTATTTGATTCTACCATATCTTGGTCTTGAGAAGAAGATTTTGAAATTTCAGTCAATTCGACCATTTTTGGCCCCATCCATCAGCCCCGGGGGTCAGTCAGGGCTGATATGTGCATACCATCAAACTGCTATCCAATACTGAAAATGCTACCCCAAATTGAATTACTTCCAATGGAAATAAAACAAATGTTGGTCCAAAATGTGATTTCCCTATATAAACTATAGTAAAGTTTACCCCCTCCCCAGGGGGAAAAGTGAGACCCTGGGGTCGTAAAATTCATACTTTTGGTTAAGCACCTTAAGACCGTTCCATCTATGAAGAGTATTTGATTCTACCATATCTTGGTCTTGAGAAGAAGATTTTGAAATTTCAGTCAATTCGACCATTTTTGGCCCCATCCATCAGCCCCGGGGGTCAGTCAGGGCTGATATGTGCATACCATCAAACTGCTATCCAATACTGATAATGCTAACCCAAATTGAATAACTTCCAATGCAAATTAAACAAATGTTGGTCCAAAATGTGATTTCCCTATATAAACTATAGTAAAGTTTACCCCCTCCCCAGGGGAAACATGAGACCACAGGGTCAAGAAATTCACAATTTTGGTAAAGCACCTTAAGACCCTTCTATCTATGAAGATTATTTGCTTCTACCATATCTGGATCTTGAAAAGAAGATTTTTGAAATTTTAGTCAATTTTACCCTTTTTGGTTCGCCTCTAAGGTCCCTGGGGGCTGGGGACCATATAATTCGCAATTTTGGTTGACCTTTGGCCATGGAAGGTTTCTGTACAATTTCATTGAAATTTGTTCAGGGGTTTTGGAGAAGAAGTCGAAAATGTAAATTGTTTAAAGACGCAAGACGGACAAAAGGCGATCGCAATAGGTTACTTGAGACTTTGTCTCAGGGACTTAAAAACACACATACACACACTCTCACACACACACGCACACATACAAAACCACAAACAATCACAGACAAGCATACCTACCAACTGACATCCAAAGACAACCAAGCCGACACACACAAAGTACCACACTCACACGAAACGAATGACCAGTACAACACACAGGTACACACACACGAAACGAATAACCAGTATTACACACAGGTACACAATGTCCTGGTTCCATACATTCACCACTGTTACTTGATCAGAAGGGGTTTGGCACACTCAACTTCAATTTGATCCATTCCAGCAAAATAGTTAGATTTACTTCATTCCAATAGTCTTAGTTATATACTAACATATTCATACATACTACTAACATAATCATATAATCCTACGCAGTCATTTTAAACTGGAAAACACTAAAGAACTAAACATACACTTATTGGTACGGGCACACAAATATATTCATTGTATAAATCAAATCAGCCTATTAAAGAAACTATTTTTTATTTAAAATAACAACGGTTTTTTCTACAAAAAAAGCAGCTTTCCTTCAAACAGAATTTGATACGGGTCCTTTACAAATACTGGAACACATTAAGTGGTCCTACTTTAATATCCGCGGAGGTTAGACGTATAGCACTTTGTGGTGTCAGATTTAAAAACAAGAAATAGCAAAATGTATATAAAAAGTACTATATATGAAGCAATCATGTGTCCATCTTTTGTTTTTTACATTGGTCGGTGAATTATATCTGTCACATTCTGTTGCTATACGAGATAGGGTAAATACATAGAAATATGATTGACAAAAGGACAGTGAAAAGTTACCGATCGGAAATTAATGTTAAATGAAAATATAAAACGTACAAATAGCTATTACTAAAAATAAGACGATCAATAACATAGCGCTTGTAACCTTCAACAAATTAGGTACTGAATAAAGGTAAACTCAACGGAAATCAAGTCTAGGTAGAAATCACCCAGCACGGCTACACAGCAACACTGAATAATACATAACGTTAAAAAGGATCTCGTGTATATTGTTTTCTCTAGTATTTCGACTGACAATAAAATTGTAATTGCGAAATTGTCTGTACACTGGCAAGGCCATAATGTCGAAAATAAATAGAAGCGTTGTTTAAGCCACATAGAATACGTTTATGTTGCATAATATGCACCAGGAACGCAATACACACTATTGGTATGATCGTCAGGTCTTATTTTTAAAGTTTTTAAACAAAGCAGCCAGGAAATAATATTGAGGTATTTTGAGATGTAAACAAAGTGCTCGATATATTTATATGGTCGTTATTTTGTGTTGTAGACTTATCATTCAGATATATTATTAACATAGTTTTGAAGTAAAATTCGAGAAGCCAGACTTACAATTGACTGTTGATTTTATGAGATAAACACCAATCAGTCAGAATTATCAGTATTGACATTATTGAGGTATAGATTTAAATGTCGGAATTATCATCTTAATATACATGTATCTTACACAATACATATTAAAGACTCGATCTGTTTAACGAGAATATCATGATGTAGGTGATGTAGGTGTAGGTGATGTAATGTAGGTGTAGGTGATGTAGGTGATGTAGGTGTAGGTGATGTAGGTGATGGAAACGGTTGGTTGTACACTTTATGTTTAACGAGGCTGTGTAGGGATAGTCACACACACACATCACACACAACACACCACATCACATACACAAATAATAACCACACACACACCTCACACACAACACACCACATCACATACACAAATAATAACCACACAACACACATCACATACACAAATAATAACCACACAACACACATCACACACAACACACCACATCGCATACACAAATAATAACCACACAACACACATCACACGCACAATGCTAAGTGATTTTACCTATACTGTAACATTTGAACCACACAAAACATCGCTTTCGTACCATACACACAAAAGAACCGTCAAAATTCTGTAAACTAAATATGATCTTTTAACCAACAGATTATCACAGACATAGACACGTTCGTTATAAAAGATTTGTTACGTCATCTAAATTGATGAAGCTTATAAGTGGACTGGTTCCTAACTCAACCATATCCGGGAACCACGCTAAACAACACGTAGCAGTGTGTCTTATTTCCGGATCAGTTAAAGAAATGGAAAATAAGGAAAGCATATGAACGCAATACTTGTGATGTGTGTTTGATTATCCCTGAATAGATATGTTCCTGAGGTACGAATGGAAAGCAGAAATCCCCCAAGCCCAGTAGTCTACAGTACTCTCTTCAGTCATTGGGTCCAAACCAGCCAGGAATTCATACAAAGGAAACTTTCACTTTAAACTACACACTTAAAAGTATATGCAGCTGGACTTATTCTTACACACTTAAACACTAGTTTTGGAATGTCACCGAGGTTCAATAAATGTTGACATTGTTCGTCAGTATCGACTTACGACATAATTTCGGATAAGTGCTTCTTTACTTCCTGTATTTCTCGTGATTATTTTTCATTTTCTTTTTAACACGATTTTTTTTATACAATTCAATTCATCACGGAATGAGCTACCGTGCAATATGGCAGATATCATAATCTCAAACGTTCACAGTGCTATTGGGTTAGACCCTATCTGACTAGTGACCTCACTGTGGGTATGACATTTTCTTACTAGTGACCCCACTGTGGGTATGACCTTTCTTACTAGTGACCCCACTGTGGGTATGACCCTATCTGACTAGTGACCCCACTGTGGGTATGACCCTATCTAACTATTGACCCCACTGTGAATTCCATATTGTTTGTCTTGTAACCCAACTGTGGGTTTGACCTTGTCGAATTTGCGATCCTACTGTGGATTTTACCCTGTCTGACGAGTAACCCTCCTGTGTGTTCGACCTCGTACGACTTGTTATTCTACTGTAGGTTTGACCTTGCCTGATTCGTCTGACTTTTGACCCTACTATGAGCTTGACCCTGTCTGACTTGTGACCCTACAATGGGCTTGACCCTGTCTGACGAGTGTTTGTCCGTGACACTAACGAATCGTTCACAGAGAACATCAGTCATGTGACACGTTGTCAGAACAACCACTTTCGCTATAAGTTTATCTGTTTAAGAGAATAAAAACCATAACATAAACATGTGTTGTCCTTTAAATTGATACTATCAATATATATCAACGGGTATTGTGAAACAAACAACAAACAGCTGTCAATATTATCCGCCGGGTCCTCGTCACTGCTGTCAATATTATCCGCCGGGTCCTCGTCGCTGCTGTCAATATTATCCGCCGGGTCCTCGTCACTGCTGCCAATATTATCCGCCAGGTCCTCGTCACTGCTGTCAATATTATCCGCCGGGTCCTCGTCACTGTCAATATTATCCGCCGGGTCGTCGTCACTGTCAATATTATCCGCCGGGGTCCTCGTCACTGTCAATATTATCCGCCGGTTCCTCGTCACTGCTGTCAATACTATCCGCCGGTTCCTCGTCACTGCTGTCAATATTATCCGCCGGGTCCTCGTTACTGTCAATATTATCCGCCGGGTCCTTGTCTCTGTCAATATTATCCGCCGGGGTTCTCGTCAACATTATTACAGCTACTGTCGTACTTTGTATGGACGGAAACTCAAACGTGTTGGGAATCCGATTCTATGATATAAATGTCAATTTGCCACTGCATGGACACCTGCACGCACAACTAGATTAACACTGCCGCATTATCGCTAATGAACCGTGGAATCTTATACTTGCAACGAATTTAGGAGTGATCGGACATGAAGCAACATACCACAGCACATTCAAACACCAATCTTAGTTTAAGATAGTGACATTCCTTACCAATAACCATATGTCAAAGCGTCATCTACAAGCTAACATCTTACCAAGGGGAGATAATACACTGTCAAATAGGAACATTCTAATGCTTACAAACCTATGTACATTTACACAAGGTTAAAAGGTGCAATATCGTCCATCGCCTTATGCCTGTCCCGCCTTACACCAGGGGAGCTAACACGTACACATTAGGACCCACGATAAACTATACGTTAGTGAACACGTCGGCGTAAGAGCACTGAACAGCTACATAACATAATACGGTAACAGACATAGCACGTGTCCTGTTATCAAATCAACTCGGATCTCGTGATAAACGCTAGCTTGTTACGCAACAAAACATTCGGAACTTCTCGAGTCCTTGCTTAGCCTTGACTCACTCTATACTTCATACCGCGGAAGTGTTGTTTCTTTTATGTAGTAGAGCGTCATGTTTCAAAATGACGCCGCCACTGTCTCTTCAAAACAGTTTCTCTATTTCTTGCAGCATGCTATGAAGCTGATAATATGTCGCCTCATTTCTCAGTTCCCGTAGAACCTGTCGGTTTCTAGGGAGACCATCGGTGTTCAGACGCCCGTCGCGCAAGTAGTTCAGGATGTACCGGAAGTGCGTTCCGTCACGATCAATGAAGACCGTTCCGTCCGTCTCTGTGCAGATGTTGTGACGTCCACTGAACATGGCTGCCAGCATTGATTCTGGATCTTGGTTCAAGGTCAAACGAGACGTTGTAAATATATTTCCACCAATATCTAAGCGGATCCTTCCCTGTAAACCAAACACACACAATAGTAAGTAATAATAACCCAAACGTCAATAGTCCGACAGTAAAAAGTTAAATAACAAAAACTCATTCCAATTGGTCAACTGTATGTAAACTAGGAAACGGTATTTACTATCATTAAGTTATAAATAAAACTAATATAAATATATAATTTACATCATCATTACCAGTGGTTATCGTATAGAATTTATAATTAACAGCATCATTACCAGTGGTTATTGTATAGAATTTAAACCTGTTAGTCACAAGTATGAAGTTACTCGTTTGAACCTAATAACTAATCACAGATCATAAACTGTTTCTTTCCAGAGGTGTAGGTTTCTCTCCACGCCATACGTTTCCTGGCATTGAGAGTAGTTGTACATGGATACCCTACGTAAATGGGTTCAATTAGAAATTCATCAGTAAAACGTATATCATATGACATGTTACAAAATGATTACCTTTCTACAGAATTCTACAATTCGTGTTGTTTTACCCACGAGATACCGTGGAACTATACAACATGAACTCTCCATTGTATTATTACTGCAGTGTACCCAGGTCACCAGTAACTAGGGTTCAACATCATCCCAAACCTAGGTGAGAGCTCACCTATCTCGTCATTAACTCAAGCAGGTGGAAACATGAGTGCTATCAAAACACAATGTCTATTGTAGAAAACCTAGGGTGCGTTATAAAGAAAGAAAAACCAAAACATATAGCATAACATAAGCATCTTTTTACATCGAACAAAAAATCAAATAATATCAACATCATCTTCATCTGCAGACGAACCAAACGATATCATTGATTCTATTTCAATTATTGAAACTCCCAGTGATCAATATAGAAGTAATTATCTACTGGCAAATATCATGAAGTCATTACAGCAAGCTTGAAATTCCCGGATTTGTCTTATATCTTGAGTGTCAATATAAACATTTACATTGTGTGATGACGTTGAGACATGGTATTTTTTTTCTATTATACTTCAAATGTATTGGCATTAGTACCTCATAAAGATTTAGGCGAGAGGAACATCGTACTCTTTGAATCTCTACTGAGAATTCCAAGGTTGCTGTTTGGTACATTAGAATAAATCTCTTTCCCAGAAATTATACATTTTCCCTTCAGTTGCAATCAGAGCCCATACGTTATCCCCTTCAAGTAATGATCTACCCTTACATTCGATGGCCTATCAAGGAAGGTCGTGTTGTGAAAAAACTGCTTTCTCTTCATTTAAAATCTTAGAGCCCCGAATGTCGTGTTACCGGGCAACTAGCAAGTACGTGTGGGACCGTGGGACGTCATCGGAGTGGGTAGATAGTATATAATAAAACCCTCGCCTGAAACAAACACCCGATAGTGGGCAAACAGATTAACTACATAGTCATACAGTGGGAAAAACTACAACATGTCATCTAGCGTGGACAACCTAGGCGACGCAAGGCGGCCTCACGGTATTTAAAGCTGCATGGCGGGAGAGAAGGATTGGAGACGTACAGATACTAGCCGTGTAGTGTAGTGTAGCTAGATAAAAGAATAATCTTTTGTAATAACAGAATATTTTTTGAAAAAAAAGACCAAAATTTTCATCCAAAACCTTTATGTGAAAGTACGCCGTTTCCATTACAATCCCCTGACCACGACTCTACAGGGATCACAGGAACGCTTACATCCTATGACCATTACTGTTATCGCCAAGAGTTAGCAATGCTAATTATATCGTTCACAAACATTTACCATTGTTTTCGAATCGAACACAAATGTTGTAGATATCGATCTGGGTGCAGCTTTAAATAAAATCAATGTGTTTATTATTTATATACTGGAAATATATACACTTTTGAAAACGATTGCTTACTATGAATTTTAATGATATTTGTCTAACATTATGGATCAGATAATTATATTAAAAAATACCATGTTCATTGTATGTTTTCTTACGTCGATGTAAAGATGATATACTTACCGATTTTTGCAAAGCAAGAAATGTTTAAATATTCTTAATTTGCTGATTAACAGGGAATTCTTTCTTGTTAATTATTCCGTGATATTTCGTTTGCGAATCATCTACTTCTGTTTAAATAAAAACAAGTAACGTGTTCCTGGGTAATCGTCGATCATGTTCCAGGCAACTATCACGTAACTTTATCAACACATACTGTTAAACAGACGCTCTATACGGACACAAACAAACTGTCTCTTATGTCACAACTTCCAATCTATTTTCACAGTATTCCGAAGGGATAGATCACTCAACGAAAAAGAAGCATTCTGTTACTTAAATCTCCGGAATTTGTCGTGAAGTCAACCATTCGATCGTTTATATTTGTCAGTGTTATGTGATACTCCATTGTAAGACAATAGCATGAATTCAATGGCCTTACCACTAGCTGTTCAAAGGTTTAGTGGTCTTTGAACTCTGGAAGTCAAATTATGATTTATATACAGTTTGCTCAGTGAACTGGAGTGTTGTAAGGGTCCTTGGGAGGGATCAATACACGTAAACTCCCCCACACATACATTAGTAAGCCGCCACACAACATCTCAGTACTTACCCTTAAAATTGAAAGTAATCCGTGTTTTATTCTCGCTTTGTACCTACCTTAAATAGATGTCGTACTAGAGCGTCGAAGACTATAAGTTTTGAGACTTTCAATACACGCATTGCATATATTTTAATTGTTTGATCTTCCTAATTGAAATCTTTCGAGCAGTCATCGGTGGAAATCTTTAAAATGTCAGGCGTTGATAGCTTGTCACAATTTGCAAATTTGCCAAAGCGACATCAGATGAAGTGCTGTGATGTTGGAGACATCATATGACTAACTCTAATGTACAGATACTGACCTGAACGACAACAGCATTTCAAATCTCCTACTTACCGTTTCACTCGAATTATACATATCAAATGACCATACATTTCTAACGCGATACGGCTTTATTTCCTTCATATTCAAATCATATTCCCACAAGTGGACATTATCACATTTCCGGAAAATCTGGCTCTTTGAGACGTGATATACCTTTTGAACATCATGCATTTCTTCCATACGGGCAAGTTCATCCCTCAATTGTTGCCATTGGCGACAAATCTCCTCCTTTTCCTTGTGCATGTCCTTGTCAAACTTGTCTTTTTCCTGTTCAAGTTTGTTCTCCTTTTCTCTAAGCTCCTTTTCCAGTTTCTCCAGTTCGGCCGTTCTTGCCTCCAGCTGCTGTTTAAGGTTGATCAGCGTGGCCTTCTTATCTACGGCGTGTTGATGGATAGTCTCTATCTCACCAATTCTCGTGGTCACGTGTTCCTCAATTGCCTCGGTGAGACTATCATGCTTGTCCTTCAGACTAGCTTTAATTTCTTCTAGAACTTTCTCTGTGGGGGATATAAACATACACAGTACAGAGCCAATTATATGCCATGCGTCGTGTGAAGTTATGTTTCATTTAAGTCAAAAACAAGAAGACAGTGAATTTATATATAGTTTTATGTTAAATGGGCTTCTATCATGGCTAGTGTAAAGTCATCAAAATGTGATACTTTTTTACTTTGAAAGTCTATGGGAGATAACCGGAGCGGGGAAAACAAAACCATTTGTCCCTTTACATTACAGTAAAGAAAAGCTTTATATTTTAATGATGATTATTTTAAATGATAAAATCAATATGGTCATTAAACACAAAAATAATCTGAAAACTTTGATAAATAGGTAAAACGACATCTGAACCACAAATTGATAATAAGATCGTTTTTTTCTCTGACATACCTAGTCTGGCATTTATCTCACAAGCATGTTCCCCTTTGCTGGTCTTGACACTTACGCCCCCGTCACACATGTGAATACCGAGTTGTTCACAGTTCTGCAGGAGGTCCTTGCAGATGAAGCACATATCAGACTCGTTGTCTCCCCGACGGGAAGAGGACGAGCTCCTCGGGGAACTGCTGGACGAACGGGACGAGCCGGCATTGTTATGGTTGTTATGGTTCCTGGGCCAGAAGCGAGCCTGGTAGTTATTAAATGGTGGAGGGTGGTGAAAGTTGTTTGGTCCCCAGTTGGATGCTCTGTAACCGGGTATATGTGCGTTTTGCTGAAATTGCGGGGGTACCATCGGCATCTGTTGCCCAGGGAAACGGTCGTCCATCATTGGCACCCCTTGTTGCCATGGAGCCCTGTGGTCATTGTTGTAGACAAAACCGCCCTGGTGAGGTCCCTGACTAGGCATGTTGTATCAGCTGTAACAAAAGGTATAATTTTTCTCATTAAACAGTAATGAAGTAGTAGGGGAACAGAATGTAGTAAGTGAGAAGTATGAATGTCGTGTGAATGTGTCTATAAAGGTGTCATTATCTCTAGCAACTGTCAACTATCATTTGTGAATATTATGTATTATTTGCTTACTCAGTTTTTTCTTCTCATGTTATCTGGTGATGTCCATCCTAACCCTGGACCCAGCAGATCTGATTCTACACACATTATAAATGATATTTCAATTCTTCACCTGAATATACGCTCACCTAAAAATAAGATTGAATTGATTGAATCTGAATTTTCAGAAATTGATATTCTTTGTTTCACAGTCACCCTTTAATAGAGATATCAATAATAATATTTTACATCTTAACTCTCATCCCAATATATTCAGATGTGACAGAATAGGTAGACCAGGTGGTGGAGTGATTGTTTATACACAAAATAATGTTTTAGTTAATAGAATTTGTGACGTTGAACACAAAGATCTAGAAAACATAGTTTTAGAAATAAGAACTTCAGACAAATGTTTTTTATTATGCTGTATTTATAGACCTCCTGACTGTCGTGTTGATTATTGGAAAAAGTTTGATGATCTTGTCGACAACCTAATTAATAAAAATTCTAATCTAGTTATCACAGGTGATATCAATCAAGACATGCTTACTCTACATCCTAACTCCCATCTTGCTAGAACTCTTACCAAATATCACCTAAATAATGTTGATCAATCCCCGACACGAATTACCAATACAACCTCAACCTGTATAGATACATTTTATGTTAATAATATGAACATTGTACAGAGTACAGAAGTGTTGGCTCCATTATGTAGTGATCATGTCCAATTGTTTTAAACTTAAGTTTTAAAGTTATCAAAGAGAGATCCTTCAAGAAAATTATTTACAAATATAAGGAAGCCAGATGGGACCTAATTAATAAAAGTCTTCAATCTGAGGACTGGGGATTAATTATAGGTGAAAATAATGATGTTGATGAAATAAATAACTTAATTATTGATAAAATAAAAATACTGACTGATGTTCACATCCCCTACAAGACAATTAGAATCTGTCCGAATGATAAAACCTGGATGACAAATTTAATAAGGTCTAATTTGAGAAAGAAAACAGAGAATACATAGAAAAGCAAAAAATACTAACAAGGATAGTGACTGGCTAAAATTTAGAAATAAACGTAATGAATGCATTGACTTAATTAGAAAAGGTAAAGACGTTTACCTTAAGAAATTACAGGATTCTTTATCAGATAAGTCAGTACCTCCAGGTAAGTGGTGGCGTATTGCCAAATCAATAAGGTACATGTCTAACTCTTCTAATGCCTCTCGTCCCTTACGAGTTGGTGGTAACGTTATGATTCATCCTATTGACAAAGCAGAAGCACTTAATAATGTTTTTGCTTCCATTTCTAATTCTATTGATGATAGTACTAACACTTTGGTTACAGACTTACCTCCCCATCTTGACTTTAATAATATTATCATTACAGAAGAAGATGTTAGTGATAAAATATCCATTATAAAAGTCAAGAAACCAGCTGGACCAGATAATCTGTCACCCATTATTGTAAAAAATCTCTTACCCTCCCTTGTGTTACCACTCAAAATATTATTTCAAAAAACTATTACTCATGGAAAGATACCGTTATCATGGAAATTGTCTAATATAAATGCACTATATAAAGGTAAAAGAGGAATGGAAGATCCTAGTAACTATAGACCTATTGCTATAACTTCTTGCTTTATTGAAATTCTAGAAAAAATTACTATCCCTGTTTGATATTATCTCAAAAAATCTTGATGAAGGTAAAGACATTAGATTGGTATTTTGTGACATAAGTAAGGCCTTTGACAGAGTATGGCATAAAGGTTTATTGTATAAACTTAAGAAATATGAAATTAAGGGGAATCTGTATAACTTGTTTGAAAATTATCTGTCGGATAGGAAACAAAGAGTGGTTTATGAAGGATATTCTTCTAGTTTAAAAAATATTACAGCGGGTGTTCCACAAGGGTCTACACTTGGCCCCTTTCTTTTTTTACTGCTCATTAATGATATAACTAATGAAATTCATACTCATATTAAATTATTTGCCGATGATACGTAATTACATGTAATTGTTGATGAAGATGTGGTTGCTCCATGTATGGATCTAAATGAAGATCTTGACTCTATTAGTAATAGGGCTAACCAATGGAAAATTAAATTTAATCCAAATAAAACTGTTGCATTAACTGTTACAAAAAAAAAAACGAAATCACCCTCCACTTCTCTTTGACAATCAAATAGTAAATGAAATAACCAATCATAAACACTTAAGTCTTTTATCCAACTCCAAAGGTTCATGGAGTAATCACATCGCAGAAATCTATGAAAAGGCATGCAAAAGATTGAATATTTTAAGAACACTCAAATACAAAGTTGGCAGAAATGCTTAAATAATACTATATAATTCTTATGTAAGACCTATTCTTGAGTATGCAGATGTTATTTGAAAAAACAACTGCACTATTGGCGAAGCGAAACTATTAGAATCTGTACAAATTGAGGCCATGAAAATAATAACTGGATTACGAAGTGGAACAACACATCAGAAACTATATTCTGAAACTGGGTTTGAACTGCTCTCTTCTAGGCGACATAAGCACAAACTTATTTTAATGTTTAAAATTCTAAATGATATGACACCAGTATATTTACATGACATTGTTAAACCTTATATTTATGATGCCGTTCCACCTCATAATCTTAGACAACACAGATTTTTTAATATTCCTCACTTCAGATCTAATTTATTTGGCAATAGTTTTTTCCCAGATGTCATGAAAATATGGAATTCGCTTGATTCTGAAATAACCTCAGCGCCATCATTAAATATATTCAAATCTAAATTGAATAAATTGAATAATGAAAGAATCCCTCTTGTAAATATTACTTCTGTTTTTCAAAATTGTAGCCCTAGAAAGTTAAATGTTATCCTCTGCCAACTTAGAAATAATACCAGTGACTTAAATTATGACAAATTTGCTGACCATCTTTCTCCTGATTCTTCCTGTTCATGTGGTCATCCAATTGAAAATTCTGAACACTTCTTCTTCACTTGTCCAAATTACTCTAATTCCATGAACTTAATCCATGATATCTATACCAGAGCTGGATACTTAAATGTTCAACTTTTGACATCTGGAAGTACTGATTTACCTTCTGAAATAAATATACTGATTTTGTCTAATTTTGAAAAGTACATCAATGCATCCAAACGGTTAGGATGAAGTAAATAAATGTTTAAATATAATCAATCTATTATATATTCTTTTGCATGTACATACAATTAAATGAATTATTTGCTGTAATTACCTAATTCAATCATAATTGTTGATAGTTGCTGGTCAATTTAGATAATATTGTAAATATCATACAGTGAATGAATATTGACACGAGTGTGTATAGAAAGTGTAAGTAGTTAATTTATGAATGTATGATTGAGTGTATGAATTGAATAAAATAACAGAAAAAGCTTATTAATTACATGTATATATATAATATCATACTTACACCATCATGGAGAAGATTGATATAGGCCTAGCCTGTTATCTAATCCATTTATATATGTTTATTTATATATATAATAAAATTTGTTAAAACAAATGTAGAAATCATCCTACGGTGTTTACATTGATAGTAACATCCACGCTTCCCCTACCTACGGTGGTTACATTGATAGTAACATCTACGCTTCCCCTAACTACGGTGTTTACATTGATAGTCACATCCACGCTTCCTTTACCAACGGTGTTTCCATTGATAGTAACATCCACGCTTCCCATACCTACGGTGTTTACATTGATAGTAACAGCCACGCTTCCCCTACCTTCGGTGTTTACATTGATAGTAGCATCTGCGCTTCCCCTACCTACGGTGTTTTCATTGTTAGTAACATCCACGCTTCCCCTACCTACGGTCTTTACATTGATAGTAACATCTACGCTTCCCCTAACTACGGTGTTTACATTGATAGTCACATCCACGCTTCCTTTACCAACGGTGTTTCCATTGATAGTAACATCCACGCTTCCCCTACCTACGGTGGTTACATTGATAGTAACATCTACGCTTCCCCTAACTACGGTGTTTACATTGATAGTCACATCCACGCTTCCCCTACCTACGGTGGTTACATTGATAGTAACATCTACGCTTCCCCTAACTACGGTGTTTACATTGATGGTAACATCTACGCTTCCCCTACCTAGGGTGTTTACATTGATAGTAACATCTACGCATCCCCTACCTACGGTGTTTACATTGAAAGTAACATCTACGCTTCCCCTACCTATGGTGTTTACATTGATAGGAACAGCCACGCTGCCCCTACCTACGGTATTTTCATTGTTAGTAACATCCACGCTTCCCCTACCTCCGGTGTTTACATTGATAGTAGCATCTGCGCTTCCCCTACCTACGGTGTTTTCATTGTTAGTAACATCCACGCTTCCCCTACCTACGGTATTTTCATTGGTAGTAACATCCACGCTTCCCCTACCTACGGCGTTTACATTGATAGTAACATCTACGCTTCCCCTAACTACGGTGTTTACATTGATAGTCACATCCACGCTTCCCCTACCTACGGTATTTTCATTGGTAGTAACATCCACGCTTCCCCTACCTACGGTGATTACATTGATAGTAGCATCCACGCTTCCCCTAACTATGGTGTTTACATTGATAGTAACATCCACACTTCCCCTACCTACGGTGTTGACATTGATAGTAACATCTACGCTTCCCCTAACTACGGTGTTTACATTGATAGTCACATCCACGCTTCCCCTACCTACGGTCTTTACATTGATAGTAACATCTACGCTTCCCCTAACTACGGTGTTTACATTGATAGTCACATCCACGCTTCCCCTACCTACGGTGGTTACATTGATAGTAACATCTACGCTTCCCCTAAC